CTAACTTTTTTCAATAATTTGTATATATTTAGTGGTATTTATTGTCTAGACATATTCTTTGAAATAGTGTCAAGATGCTGTTTGTGTTGTAAAACCGTGACATTTTAGATGTATCGGGTTCAATGACAAAAGGTGACTTCTTCAGCTACACTCAGATGACACTGAAGTGATTTTGTTTGGTCGCCACAAACCAAGAGAGAGCATTATCGGTCACGTCCAGTTCCTTTTCCTAAAATCCTCAAACCATGTCATAAATCTCATAGTAATAATGGACTCTGACTTAAAATTGAGCATCCACATCCACTCTGTATCATCAGAAGCTTTTTACTATCCTAAAAAGAACATAAAACAGTGTTTAAAGCAGGTGTAGATATTATGTAACTGTATGTAACTTTTGTCCAGGACTCCCTTGAAAAAGAGGTTTTTAATCTCAATGGGACTTTCCTGGTTAAATAAAGGTGAAATAAAAAAATAAAAAAAAGATACTTATCCTGTATTTATCTCAAGTAGATTACACTACTGTAAAACCACTTTGTAAAACTGAGCAAAACTACCCCAGTGTGGCCCAGAGTCAGGACTATATACAGACTACGGACGTAGTCGCGCCTATCTCCGCCGTTCTAACTAATGGGCCAAAAAATGGGCTTTCATGGAGTGATTCAAAATGGCCGCGGGGGCTGGAAAATGTGAAAAAACCATAGACTGTATATATTAACGGACAGAGTCACGCCTATCTCTGCTGTTCTAACTAATGGGCCAAAAAATGTGCTCTGCTGGAGCAATCCAAAATGGCCGCGAGTGGTCCCGCCCACAAGAAAATTGTGAAAAAACGCATCTGCGCATGCGTCAGCCGGCTCAGCTCCATTCATTTGAACGAGAGACTTCAAAAATTCACAGCAAGTAAACTAGAGTGGACCAAAAAAATCCACCCCCCTCAGCATTGACACACATGTGGAACGGAGCTTTGGGCCAAGAGCCAACTTTTGGTCCATCCTGTAAAGACGTTTTTGAGAGGTCTGCCAATGCTATATGTTAGCATTGGCTAATTCTACTTCTGGGTCCACCCCCATCGGCCCGGGGTGGTATTGCAAGCATTGCTGGAGCACGTTGTTTTGGCCACTTTTGAGCTGGGACCCTCCCCCACTGGAAAAAAACGCATCTGCGCATGCGTCAGCCGGCACGAGCTCCATTCATTTAAACAAGTGACTTCAAAAATTCACAGCAAGTAAACGAGTGGTCCAAAAAAATTCAGCCCCCTCAGCATTGACACACATGTGGAACGGGGCTTTGGGCCAAGAGCCAACTTTTGGACCATCCTGTAAAGACGTTTTCAAGATGTCAGGGTAATGCTATATGTTAGCATTGGCTAATTCTTATTCCGGGTCCACCCCCATCGGCCCGGGGTGGTATTGCAAGCATGTCAGCGCACGTCATTTTGGCCACTTTTGAGCCCATTGGACTAAACATGGGGAAGCAGCGTTTCAGATTTATGCAGCTAAAATCTGGAACAGTCGAACTGAAAAAGTGAGACAGGCTTCAACTCTATTCTTCTCTCTTTTTAATGTGCTGTGATTATTTATAATAAACAGGGAATTCATTTTTTTTTTCCTCTTTAGGAAAAACAAGGCAAGTTAAAATACTTAACAACACAAGACAGAAAACAATCATACAAAGTATTTGCAGGACTGTAACTTCAAAGTTAATTTTGTGTCCGGTGGGAGGGGCTCCTGTGGAAGTCAAGGATCGTCTTCTTGGTCTTAGACGCATTTGGGGTGAACCTATTTCCTCTCGCTCCACTCCAAGACTCTAATTGTTTGTGTTTGGGCCTTTTCTGAACCTGCCAAATGAAGTGATGTGATCAGAGCTGCTGTCAGATCTCAGAAGCTAAGCATGATGGGAATAATGGGACACTGCTGCAAGACCAGGTGCCACATTGAGAGGAATGAATAATGCATGTGACTTTATATCTGCCATAAAGTGCTACATAAATATTCTCACTCGCTTATGGATCTCAGTGGACCAGGGTGATACATTTGACATAGACTGGAAAATAGTACCTTTACTCACCATTTCTGTTCAAAGACAGGTTTTCTTTTTTTCCCGCAGAAATAGCCTCCTTGACACCTTTTTCAAACCACCCCTTCACCTTCCATCAAATCTTCACCTCAGTCAAGATGAAACATTTTCAGCCACGGATCAGTCTTGAACGAATGAGGGATGACACCAAATTCATACATATCCATAAATCTCTCAGCGCACACTAAACAGGCCTACTCCCTGGTGGAAATGCCGCGGTGGACCCAGCCTTTCGTTTAGTTAATATTCTGCACGGCGCTGCTCTGCTCAATGCACCGCCGCACCTCCTGAGCGATGGACTGGAGAAAGAGCAGAGAGCCAGAGCTGATGGAGAGCAGAGGACGAGTGGACCAACACTGTGATCAGAGCAATCAGAGCAGGCGGCATCAGGGCCTCCGCATCAGGGATAATGTGATTTGACACGATCTGTGTTTCCATGTTGGCCACACACGATTATAGACAACGTACACACTGCAGATGTGATTAGAGCATCTGCATTTGACAGCAACCATACAGGCTGAATAAAACACGCAAAACAATGTCATTCTATGCTTTATTCACTTTCACATCTAATCGTTTCTAGTCAAAACACAATCATGTTTGCACAATCTGCTGCAATGCTGAAAACACGTGACATTTTTCTGCCTTCGCAAATGAGTCTGACACGCAGATTCTTGGACCGAGACATGACCCGCAACAATAAATCCCTGTCATTGCAGCTGCAGCTTTATAGATGCACAAATGGGGAGTGAGACTGCAGCTCTCATACTGCAGCTGTCAGACCGCAGCTCTCATACTGCAGCTCTCAGACTGCAGCTCTCAGACTGCAGCTCTCAGACTGCAGCTCTCAGACTGCAGCTCTCAGACTGCAGCTCTCAGACTGCAGCTCTCATACTGCAGCTCTCAGACTGCAGCTCTCAGACTGCAACTCCACCGCAGTGCTCCGGGCGCAGGCTTTCTCCTTGCAAGACGTGTTTTATTCGCTAGTTCAGTCCTTAACTTGTCAACACCAACCGCATTTTCGTTTGTGCAGAAAAGTTGGGCATCCCTGAATGTCTTTAAAAACATCTTACACATCACATACTGATAGTGACATAGTGATGCATCATTTTAACATAGCATTTTACACACCAAGGTCACCCAAAGCGCTTTACAATTGTTCAGAGTTCAGATATTTTTCCATTCACAGGAGCGAGATGTTGAACACACTGGTGCATCAAAGCCTCTAATAATAATAATAATATTGCAATGGTTTTATATAGCGCTTTTTTGGACATTCAAAGACACTTTACATGTCTTTATTCATTCACCACCGTCCACCACCAACCATTCACACACACACCAGACTCAGGCATCGGGGGTGAAGTGTCTTGCCCAAGGACACAACGGCAGTTTGGCAGTTTACAGCCGCAGCCGCCCCACTGACCAAACCTCATCCATTCACTCACTCACTAATTACATTCATTTTAAACATATTTTACATGTTTTTAGTAGTAGGGGAAACCGGAGCACCCGGAGGAAACCTGCAAACTCCACTCAGAAATGCCCTGTTCCGAGCAGTACTCAAACCCAGACCCTTCTTGCTAAGGAGTGAGAGTACTAACCACTCAGCCACCGTGCCGCCTGATTTAGAGATATTCTACTTGCTTCTTTATTATGCTAGAGTTAAATTAAATACAATTCCTAAGTATAGAGTTATTGTGCCATGTGCTCCTTATTCCTACTGTTCAGAAACTGGTGCTGCTTTTTTGGTCTTATTAAAATAACCTTCTAAGCTTTAAACATAAGACAAAATTAACTTTTAGTAACCGCTGGAGCTGAAATGTCCCCACTGTATCTAATGTACCAATCAATAGCCTTAGATTTTATGTCGATACAATTTTACTCTGCATATTTTGGAATTGGGAAAAAATATCACATTTATAAAGGCATACTTCTCTCTGTCATATTTATGTTTATCCTGGGAAAAAGAAATGCTCAATGGTCTAATTAGTGGCGCTTACAAAATTAAACGGCGCAAAACTAAACCTGCTATAATTTTGTGGCATAGAATTAAATTCTACCACTGCCAATTATGTAGGCGTCAGTTTGAATTATACCGTTGCATAATCTCACAAACGCCGAGCTCTAACGAGGCTCTGATGTTACCCACGTGGTCAGAAAGCTAAGCATCCGTCAATAGTCTTTAATGTGTGGAGAAGACAAGTGAAGGACAGGGTCACTCACTGGAGCCTGAAGGACAGGACAGACAGTAGCAGTAATCACATTAGGAAGGAGGCAATTTAGCCGACGGACTGTCCTTACTGTAGCCTGGAGCTGGAAGTGACATTTTTTACTTTTGCGGTAAAAGGAGTTCCCACATGATTCAGATTTATAATAATAATAATAATGCATCGGTTTTATATAGCGCTTTTTTGGACACTCAAAGACGCTTCACATGTGTCATTATTCATTCACTCCAAACACGGTGGTGATAAACTACTAATGTAGCCACAGCTGCCCTGGGGCACACTGACAGAAGCGAGGCAACCAGTATGTGCCATCGGCCCCTCCGACCACCACCAACCATTCACACACACACCAGACTCATTCTAGGCAATGGGGGTGAAGTGTCTTGCCTAAGGACACAACGGCAGTTTGGCACTTTACAGCCGCCCCACTGATTTATATTTTTTGTGGACATAGATCACAGTATAATGGATATTGCATGTTTTGAATGGGAAAAACTGAAACCCATGAGCAAGGACCATAACACTCATTTATTTATAACAACCTAATTCCCATGGAGTTGTAAGTGTTTCTTTGGAGAGTGGAATAACAATAATAATGCATGGGTTTTATGTAGCACTTTTTTGGACGCTCAAAGACGCTTCACATGTCATTATTTTTTCACTCCATTGATAGTGGTGATAAACTAATTCTGTAGCCACACCGACAAAAGCGAGCAAAAACCAGTATGTGGCATCGGCCCGTCCCACCAGCACCCATTCACACACACACAGCAGACTCATTCCAGGCAATGAGGGTGAAGTGTCTTGCCTAAGGAGACAACAGCAGTTTGGGACTTTACAGCCACAGACAACAGCCCCTAACTCAGTCCTTGGTCCCGTCCACTTAGGCGTTAATTTTTCCGTTTTTCGTGCTGGAGCTCCTTTAGTTAGTAGTGAGTAACCACTTGCCTGGCCTGCCAAACGATATGCTTTTTCAAAGACATATAGTCTGGGAACGAGCTTGATCTCAGCGAATTCCCGGTGGGCGTGGTTGACAGACTGCATCAACCAATTAGATGCACACAGGATATGACGCAGCAACTAGCGGCACCCAAGCCGTTTCAGTAAACACAAAACAAGGGATGGCGGCATGTCAGCTAGTGCAAATGTAAACGACTGCTGTCGATTTTGTAACAAAAACTTAAAGATACGAGGAGTTATTAGCAACTCAAAGATGAAAGGAAGTCCCGCCTCTCGGTGCGTGATTGGACCGATGTGGGTAAAATCGTGAAATGATAGGCTAGGAAGAGGTGTCCAGACGGTTCTTCTTTTGAACAGAAAGGAGGAGTGTCTGGCAGGCCAGGCAAAGTAACCACAGGGCGACAGTAGCTCAGTTGGTAGAGCATTGAGCCAGCATCTCAAGACTTTCACCCTCGACTCCCACTGTCTGCTGTCGTTGTGTCCTTGGCAAGACCACTTAACCTCTGGGAACACCAGGTGCACAGTGGGGCGGCTGCGGCTGTAAAGTGCCAAACTGCCGTTGTGTCAGTGATTAGGCAAAACACTTCACCCCCATTGCCTAGAATGAGTCTGGTGTGTAAGTGGTGGTGGTGGTCGGAGGGGCCGATGGCACATACTTGGTTGGCTTGCTTCTGTCAGTGTGCCCCAGGGCAGCTGTGGCTACAGTAGTTATCACCACCGTGTATGGAGTGAAAGAATAATGATACGTGAAGCGTTTTTGAGTGTCCAAAAAAGCTCTGTATAAAACTGATGCATTATTATAACCAACAAAGTTCTATCTTTGTCATGTATCAAAAAAGGAGGAAGGACCCAAAATACAACACTGCAAAAAAATATATATATCAACAAGAATCCAAAAACAAAACTCAACTGGATGTAAAACACAGGAACTGGGGACAAAAACAAGAACCAGGAACAAACACACAATGGACTGACAACAAGAGGGAAAGCGCACTGGGAACATATACTACAAATTAAAACAGGAACTAAAAAAGACAACCATGACAATCTCTTTCAGTACATAAAATCCCTTTTAATTGGTTTTTATTTCGATATGATTTCCCTGTCATTTACACTCAATTTATTTTGAATAGCACTAAATCTCAACAGTAGTTATCTCGGAGGACTTTACAAATTCATTTGCCAACATAGATCAGGGAATCAAACCGTTCAAACACAAGAAATGCAATGATAATAAAACACATAGAGCCTTTGGTCCATAAAGGGCGATGACCGATGTTCATACATCTTGATAAAGGAATTTAATTGAAATATTTCCTCCCTTGTAATTCCCTAGACCTATCCACAGTTCCACACCAAATCACTTCCTCCAGTAAAGTGTAAACTGGTCTTGGTTACTGGATCGTTCATTGTGTTGAATATGACACCTAGATCAGTGTCACTAAAGGATACTACATACAGTCAACATTTTATAATAAAATTCCCTTTATTTTTCCAATAGGGGGAAAAAACGAAAATAAATTGTTTGTGAGGCGTCTCAGTGCGGTGGATGCCATACGTGGTGGGCTTTTACCCTCACATTGATTAGCTTTCAGCAGGAGAGAAGCCGACCCCCCGGCTGTGCTGCTGTACTTATCAGAAGATAGACATCAGTCTGTGGCTATGGAGCACAGGTGAGCGTTGCTATTGCTGCACTCACGTAATCCTGCACACAGAAACGTGTCCGATAAGATCACAGGAAAAAAAGAGCATGGATTCTACTGTGAACGGTTCTGGAGTTTGATATTATAAAGATGACACAAAAACAACAGCGAGTCGCCATTTTAGAGCCACTGAGGAGATCTCTGCATTTCTGTTTAAAGGAGCAATATGTATAAATCTGGCCAAAAGTGGTACTGCACTCTTTGTGACTCAGGTTGCCAGATATGCAGACGAATCCAGCTGGCACCATAATAACGGAATAGAGTTTTGTCAACATGAAATCTATAACTAACACCTTTTTCACAAAGATAGAAATCCTGGTTTTATTCCTTGTTTTGTTGTTTATGATTTGAGAATCATAACAAGACCACATGTTACTTTACCAGTGAGATTAGCTCGACGTGGTTCTGGTAACCCGGATCACAGACTTTCTGATTGGCGAAACAATGGAGGGCGGGACATCGAAATGAAAACAATAAACAAATTTAGGGGCTGTAAAACTAATTTTGAAATTCATATAACTTGGCTTAAGTATTGTTATCCGTTAAGGAAGTAAAAGAGCATGAGAGATTAATAACTTTTGACAGATTAGGGCCATTTAATGATGACTTGACATGAAAATCTTACATATTGCTACTTTAACTATCACTGTGTAGTTTATATAGCAGCAGCATCCCTGTAGAGGCAGAGAAGTCACAGAGACCCCGTCAGTTCTGCGTTGTGTGGCTTCGGTCCTTGTTCTAAAGCCTAAGTCCTGGATCTTTACCCTGTGCATCCGTAGGAGTGGATACCTCGTCAATAAGGGCCTCCTCGAGGTTTCTCACATTTTCCTACTGAGTTGTTCCTTGCCAGTGCATGAGGGTTTAAGGACAGTGGTGAAGACATTTAAGGACCTTTATAACATTCATGGTCATTGGTCATCTGCCCCCTATGGATCAATGGCTCCTACTATATGTGTGTGGCATTACTGCATTGCCTGTTTTTGAACTGATTTATTCTCTAGGAACTACAGAAAAAGATTGGTTTGCGTGACGGAAACTGTAGGAGGATTGGAGAGAAATCAAATAATGTGTTAAATAATCAGGAAAACTGAGATTGATACATTTAAAGATAAACAGCAGCCAGTAAAGCTGAGGTCTGGATGACAGAGGGAGCCACGATAACGGTCTGTAAAGCTGGTAGGGATGGGTTCTCAAGGCACAGCGGGGAATGGACCTGCACAGGCTGTTATACTGATATTAAGAGGCTGGATGATGGACGCAGTAATGTTTTCATAGATTATGTCACAATAATCATGTGTGGGAAGATTCAACTGTGAAATGATCCTATTCCTAACTCACAAACTGAAGCCATCGATTGATTCCTGAAGTATTTTTTATCGATTATAGACATTTTGTATATATTTTGAAACTGTCTGTATATGTTTTCTAAATGCTGTCATGAAGGGTCAAGCCATAAGCCAAGATATTTGAATGAATCAACATCTGGGAGTCTGTTTTCAGACGGTCGTATGTCTGAAAACCTACGCCTCATTTCCTTTGAAGAAACTGGACGGACTCGATTCTGTAACATAACATTTGATTTGGATTTATTAAGTAACATTTTGTTAGATTGTAGCCATAGATTAAATTAATGTTCAACTATGATATGATATAAATGTAAATCAAAGTTTATGTGCAATTGATTGAGTTAAATACACGATTGAAGTAAAAAGTGTATTGTTAAAAAGGTCTCAGTGAAGCTGCATTCATCATATGCTTCGACATGTTACTTATGTTGTACTGAATAGTTGTTTTTCATTTTTTTTTTTTTTTTTCAGTTTTTAATGATGTCTTGTCTGTAAAAAGGTCCTGTTAGTATTTTGCTTTGTTGGAGCCGTCAAATAGACTGCACTGGGAGTTCTAGTAGTTTCAGATTTCTGGGAGTCCTGGTGTTAAAGCTGGAATAACTTTAAAACCATGACGGATATGTCGGCTAATACATCCATGTAACCAGTATCTCACTCTCCAAACAGTTCCAAGGTTCTAGCACAAGCTTTCATGTAGTTTTGGCTTTAGTCACAACTTTAGATCAGCTTTTTCATTTGAAAATATATTACCTAATAAGTAATCAAGAACCAGAACCAAATCAGGTATGAGGTTTTGGCATCACTTCAATAAAGGTCCTTGGGAACATAATAGAGTGTTTCATGCAGTGTTTAAAGCCACAGCTCAGCTCTGTTCCCTGCTCCATGTTCATGGGACACACGGTCGCTCAATTGTTCAAAGGCGTCCCGATATAAATCCTCGTTTTAGTCTTTGTTTTGTCATTAATGATTTGAGAGTCATAACAAGACCTTTTTTAGTTCTGCGCCACATGTTATTTTACCTCTGAGATTAGTGAGCCGCGGAGTTCTGGCAACCCGATCACGGACTTCCAACCACCCCCCGCCGCGAAGCCGCCCCCCCGCCGCGCAGCCCCACCCCGCCCCACCCCCCTCCCGCAACTGTTGTCAGACTGTACAATAAGTTACAAAAATGACTTGCACTGGACTTCTAAACTCGCACTGCTTTAGGTCACTTGTACAAAGAAACTATATTTTCACTTATTATCATTTCTATCATGTTGTACACGTCCTGTCACATTCCGAGAGACCCTATATATACCAAAATGTGACAAAAAGCTCCATTGTGAGATCAATAGTTTTAGCTCATCATTCATATAAACACCAGGCTCCGAAGAACCACAAATATGAGTGTGGCAAAAAAAGTTACTGAAATACTTTTAACAAGTAAAGTCAATAGGACATAATTGTATGCAGAGCACATCTAAAGACTTCATTGATCTAGGCAGGATTAGCAAAATCCTATATCAAAAACATCTATGATTATCGCTCAAATGTAAGAATGAAAATTTGGATTAAGCAAGCTGACAGCTCCTCTGACCCGTGTCTAAAGTCTGTGTCTTCTCTCCGCAGTCACCAGACCCAGACAACATGCTGGGACCACCCCAAGATGGCAGAGCTCTACCAGTCTCTGGGTAAGACGACCTCATGTGAACACAGGCAAAACATAACTGGAGAGGGCAGCCAAAACAGAGCTGTCTGAATGTGAACGAGGCCGTCTACTTTTTGTTTTGAGTCTCAGAAAAATGTTGAAGGTTTTGCTGCGTTATGAAAGGTAGGGGTGGGCAAAATATATCATAGACAATAATATCGTGAAAGTCAATTTGAAGATATGCTTTTTTGTATTATCGTCCTTTTTCTTTTTACATGCATTACAATTAGAGAAGGACAGATGCTCATTTGGTCAAATGTGTGCCTAAAAAGCCAATCACTGCTTTATTTTCACATTTCAGTAAATATTGAGCCTTTTTAGATGTGTTCTTTCTGCGTTACTTGAATTTGATTTTTAATGTTACTATATGTTGGCGCATGTTTTGCAAAGAAGTGTGAAGCTTCTATTTAGATCTACACTGTCTCTATCCATAGATGTCCTGGCAGCAACACATTACAGATCATTTTGTGAAAAAATGATTTATTTTAAAGATATCGTGACAATATCGTTATGGGGAGTTGGGAAATAAATATTGGGATATTTATTTTTGTCCATATCGCCCACCCCTAATGAAAGGTAGTGCACACATGTTCAATCCAATCCAATCCACTTTATTTATATAGCACGTTTAAACAACAGTTACGTTTCCAAAGTGCTGCACAAAAAAGTATAAAATTAATAAAAACTTATCCTTAGCTTCACCAAGTATAAAAGAATAAAAATATATAAAACAGATTAAAACCATAAATAGAAATAAAAGAAAAGAAAATAAAAACACAGAGGACCACACAACTCACGCAGTGTTAAAAGCCAAAGAGTAAAAGTGGGTCTTAAGACGAGACTTAAAACACTCTACTGTGGGGGCCGTCCGGACATGGAGGGGAAGAGCGTTCCAGAGCTTAGAGCCGACCACAGAGAAGGCTCTGTCCCCCCGGGTTTTAAGTCTCGCGTTAGGGACCACGAGCTGGAGCTGGCTCTCGGACCTCAGGGCGCGCGCAGGAGTGTAAATTTGGATGAGGTCCGAGATGTAATCAGGGGCCTGTCCATGCAAAGATTTAAAAACAAACAGTAAAATTTTAAAATCAATTCTAAAATGAACAGGGAGCCAGTGCAAAGACTCGAGTTCAGGGGTGATGTGTTCGCACTTTCTGGCCCCCGTTAAAAGTCGTGCTGCTGCGTTCTGGACCAACTGCAACCGGGAGAGGGTTTTCTGATTGACACCAGCATAAAGTGCGTTGCAGTAGTCCAGACGACTGGAAATAAAAGCATGCACAACAATGTTGGTACGATTCTTATGTTCGAATGAAGGCACAGTGTTTTCAGATCTGTCTAAGCCAAATATTGACTAGGGCTTGATAATCCAACTCATGGATTATCAAAACTATTGATGGGTTGTTCATATTTCAAAAGGTCAGTGATTATAGGATCTTTTCATACCATTTGACCAAAAGATAACTACTTAAGTGAAGTAAGAGATGTGAGATGAAAACACATTTAGCCTTCATTCTGCAGTCATTATAGCATTATCTGTGTCATAAAACCTCTCTGCATGTTTCAGTCTGTTGGATGTAAGGCTCAAAACACCATTAATCAATTTTTAAATCCGTATCAATTCAGTAACCAGTCACTTCACAGATCGATGCACTCGTTACAGCCCTAAGAACACTTTTGCATTGACTTTAATGGTTCTGTTACAATGTTAATTACAATAACTTAACCTTTTCCCATTGGTAATCTCAGCTATGCAAGACATTCAAGTCCAAATCTACCCAAAAAGTTTATCCAAATGTTTTAGCTTGTTACCGGCTCTGCGTCAGCCTTAAATATAGTGCACTTGTGACGCACGCTCGGCTCCAGCTCCAGCTCCGGCTCCGGCAGCCATCGCCCACTGCTGTTATTGATCTGCTCTTTCTTTTCCCATGGCCTACTTGGATGAAGCCTTCAGAGGAGCCACCCCGCCTTCACTTTTGTATTGCTCAGCAGCACCTAGGCTAACACACAGTCTCGTCCTGCCTGGTTTGATCTCCCCTTACCCTCTTTCTATTTCTCTCCCTCCAGCCGACCTCAACAACGTTCGCTTCTCGGCATACCGCACGGCCATGAAACTCCGGAGGCTCCAAAAAGCCCTCTGCTGTAAGTACATATACCTGTATTAGCGTCTGCGCTCTCCACTCCTTTCAAGTGCTGGGGTTTTGATTGTGTTCCAGCGCACTCCCACTCTGCGCCTTTGTTCCGTCTCCTCTTTACTCACCTCATTTGCTTGTAGGGTGCTTGTTCTATACCCTCCACTTCCTCCTCGGAGCGCGTCCCAGCTTCTCTCCGTATGTGTGTGTTTATTCAGCCGTGGCGTGTCGTATCGCCCGACTGAAACGTGTCGAAACGCCCACAAACTCAGCTTCTTCATGTTTGTTTGATGTGGGAGAGAGCGGCGGCCGTGTTTACGATTGCAAAAGGCAGCCGAGCAGGGATGTGCAGAGGTTTAGTTATTAACCCGGGTTAAGTGAGCGCAAGTAGCTCATGTGTCGCTCTGACTCATTGCCAATCGTTCTACTATTGTTGGTTTGTTTAACACGTAGTAATTGGATTCATTAAAAGGGGTGGCCACAACATGATTAACTGGTTGATTTAGCGTGGACCCAAACACATTATGTGGACATGGGGGTTTCACTATGAGAAGACTTTCGGATCTTGAACAAGGATTAGCAAACACCGCCGACCTGATCTCACATGTGCACATCTGCTAACATGTACAGGTGCAAACGTCCATCCATCCATTTTCTTCCGCTTCATCCGTTGCCGGGTCGCAGGGGCAGCAGTTTAAGGGTGTATTCAGACCTGCACATTTGCTCCACTTTAAACGAACCAGGATTCGTTTGGAACTCTGATCCGAATCTTTTATGCAGGTCTGAATACACACAAACGAATCCTGGTCCGGACCAAAGAACCGAACCGAGACCCACTTTTTGAGGTGGTCTCGGTCCGCTCGGTCCAAGTCGAATCAGGTCTGAATACATCCGGTGTCGATCCGACACAACTCCAAGATACGTGCGCATTTTTTGGGCTTAACAAGCCGCAGACAGAAACTGAGGAATTAGCCATGCAGCTGCTAACTATGATGCTAACTATGCTGCTAACGCTACAACAACAACAATGAGCCGTGTGCAGACCTGGAGCAGTGAGGAGACGCTGTGCAACAGACTTATGGAGTTACAACTGTTCACAGTATACATTGATGTTAATGGCAGCATCTTTAAATACTTTGCATTATTAAAAACCTGACACTGTTTGACTCACGTCTCAAAAAGAAATATCCCGCATCATGTAGTGAATTGTGTTCTTTGGTTCCTACCTGATCCTCAGCGTCTGTTTGTCCCGTGGTTATTATAGATCCATGGTTTATCCACAATGCTGAACAGGGCTGTTATTATAGTAGATCCATGTGTGGGACAGGACACGGAGCGCACAGACAGTCTCCTTCGTCTTTCTCCTCACGCATTCTCCGACGCTGTTCCAATATTTAAAACAACGTGTTTGGCCTGTGTCATATGAGCTGCTGCTGTTGATGTTGAAGGTGGTTTTGCTCTAAAAAGAGCAAACATAGGCAGAGCAGACATGCTGCACATACGATCTCAATGTTTTCCTCCGGTTCCGCATCTATCCTCCGTGAGCTCTCGCTGTCTAATAGGAGCGCGGATCGTCACACGTGTCAATATGTTTATATAAAAAAGTTCACTTGCAAAAAGGACAGTCTGGATACGAACCGGAGCAAAAGAAAAAAGTTTGGTCTGCTTTTGATTCGGATCAAGCAAGCGGAGCAAAGGACTTTTCAGGTCTGAATACACTCAAAGATTGCGTTAGAATATTTATTGCCGAGAGGCATGACCCCAGCAGGAATACTGCATGACGTATGCAGAAGGGAATTTAATAGAAAGTATGAGCTCGCGACCCTTTGGGGCCTAGAACATGGTGGCGATGAAGCTGAGCCGAGGATATGACATGATACTTCACTGAAGAGGCGTGATGGGGAGGAGGTGGGTTGCTGCTCAAACAGCACTTACTGAGCAGCTGAGGCTGATTGCTGTTAAGCTCTGGCACAGGTGTGTAGAGGGGGAGGAGTCAGTGCAGAGGGGGAGGAGTCAGAGCAGAGGGGGAGGAGTCAGTGTGGCAGCAGGACGTCTCTTTGGCCTTCCATTCTGAATTTGCGCTCAAGCGTCATTAGCTTCATATATAGTAGTTTGCATAACAAGTTACAAAACAGAACTTTTGGACAGAAGGGGGTGCTTTGTGTTCATTTGTGCCAGATGTTCCTCATATTAGCATAGAGGGAGATAATAACTGCTGTTTTGAACAAGGAACATAGGGCTATAACAAGTCTATCTATTAATAAGAACTAATGGATTGTTGAACGTTAACACATTTTGTAATTGCTTACGGTAATTGTTTTCTTCACCTTCCATAATAGACGTAAATATGTTGAAGAGGTTTCATAACTATAATAATAATTCTATAATGACTGCAGAATGAAATGTGTATTTTTAATTAAAAAAACAATGTAATACATTCAATTCAACTTGATTTATTCGTGTATAGTCCTAAATCATATTAGTATATAGTTTTCTCAGAGGACTTATCTCAGAGTTATCTCAGAGGAACTGTTGACAGAACTGTTGAAAACTAACACAGATCAGAAAATCAAACAAAATATAGTGCACATAGGTATTGGTCCATGGGGAGAGACCAATGTCCATGAATGTTTTTGAATGTTAGTGTTTCCTGGATCATCACTAACTGTCCAACAGACCCTCCTCTATCGGCAACGAACAACTCTAAAACCAAGTGGTGTCCATGGGATCCTTGTTTTGGACGAATGTATAAAATAACCCATATTCACTGACCTTTGGGTTCTAAACACCTTATCATTTAATCTAAATAATAATCAACCCACTAATTGTTTAATCTAAATAATTGTTTAGTTATCAAAATATTCCATCCATCCATCCATCCTCTTCCCCTTAATCCATTTCAACCTGGAGAGACTACAAGAGACGAGATGCGTTTAAGAGTTGTTTATTTTATGGATTGAGTTTGTTTATTGGTTTGGAGCTTAGGCCCCGGCTGTGGCCGTGCTCTGAAGAGATCTGCGCCTGGGTGCAGATCATGATCCCCCGGGGCCTAGACACTGGTGGTGGCAATAAGGCAAGGTGAAGGTGAGAGTGAAGAATTCCTGAGGCGGAGGTGGGGAGGAGGTGGTTGCAGCAAGTCCGTTTGGTGAGCTGTGCTCTGCTTTGCTCTTAAACGCTGGCTTGATTGACACGGCTGCGGGGAGTTGATTAAGACAGGCTGAGTAAGGCGTGGTCAAGCCTTGTGTGATAACATAGGTAGTCTACCATGCTGAACCTCCGCTTAAGCTTCATTTCAACCTGGAGAGACTACAAGAGACGAGATGCGTTTAAGAGTTGTTTATTTTATGGATTGAGTTTGTTTATTGGTTTGGAGCTTAGGCCCCGGCTGTGGCCGTGCTCTGAAGAGATCTGCGCCTGGGTGCAGATCATGATCCCCAAAAAGAGAGCTTGGCTAGCGATGCGTTTGCCATGACTTGGTTGCTGCGTTTATGGAAGGCGCATGGTGTGAGTGACTGTTTCCGTGCGCGAGCTCGGCTCTAGCACTAGGCGTTGGCACGCGCACGAGCTCGGCTCGAGTGCGCGGCGTAATGTCCGTGCGCAAGCTCGGCTCAAGCGCTAGGCGTTGGCACGCGCACGAGCTCGGCTCGAGTGCGCGGCGTAATGTCCGTGCGCGAGCTCGGCTCTAGCGCTAGGCGTTGGCACGCGCACGAGCTCGGCTCAAGTGCGCGGCGTAATGTCCGTGCGCGAGCTCGGCTCAAGCGCTAGGCGTTGGCACGCGCACGAGCTCAGCTCAAGTGCGCGGCGTAATGTCCGCGTAATGATGATTGAGGGAGTCCCAGGGCAGCAGTCCAAGTGGCTGCTCCTATCCGGAAGGAGTGGCGGGTGTAGAGAAAGGAAGAGAGGTTACATGCAGGGAGCAGAGGTTTTGAATTTGTTCAGACCAGGGGGTCGTCGAGGGATTGTTTAAGGAGTAATTATAGTCTATGAATGTTGATAAAATGTCCATACATGTTGTAGCATGTTAAAGTATCCTGGATCATCACCACGGGCCTTCTAGTTGGACACTAACTGTCCAGACCCTCCTGCATGGCAAGGAAAACTCACAAAACCCCGTGGGGAAAAAAGTGAGAAACCTTCGGAAGACCCTACATTGAGAGAGGGAATCCACTCCACGGACAGACAGGCTAGTCGTCCCGGACCTAAACTACAGAACAAGGACCATTGCCAATACTCCTTTAAGGATCTTCTTATGAGGGTGGAGCAGTGTGACTCGAAGTGGATTTTTGAGAATGTATTTAATGCCGATGTAGATGAGGCAGTGACGGCGGTACCCGCGATGCTGATGTCCAGAGACTGAGAGTGTGCAGTGAGAGGGAAAGGAGAATGCTGAATGAAGGATGAACTGCTGGTGTTTAGAGCGCTGATATTCGAACATGATTCCACTTGGGGAGACTAGAAGGTGAAAATGAGATTCATGAAGTACACTTACCCAGGAAGATTGATGTTCGATAGGAGATCTCTGGACCCCCAAAAACCAACGCACAAGGGCCCGGTCAGAATGAGGGCCAGGGTGCGTCAGGTAAGGCGAAGCGTGAGACAGGCCCGGCGGCAGGAGCCGCACCAGGAGACCAGGAGAGAATATGCCTGGGGAACATGAGAAGGAGCACCGCCTACAGCCACTCAGAGTGCACGCAAACCGTGGCGGGCAGTGCTGCACACCAAAAGCCAATGAGTGCGGCCTGGGGAAGATAGCCGGCCAAGTTTGAAGGCCACGCCGAACAATACTCATGCAGTCTTAGCAGGCCAGCGTTGCAGCAGGCCACCGTCGCGGCGTTGTAGCAGAGCTTTGGTGCGGCGTTGCGGCATCGCGTTCCTGCGAAGCTGAAAAGAGAAACCTCGAACCACTATCACTCGAGTGAAAAGGACCAACGGGCAGCGTCAGACCGCGTCTTCAGTCAGACCGACCGCGTCTTCAGTCAGACCGCGTCTTCAGTCAGACCGCGTCTTCAGTCAGACCGCGTCTTCAGTCAGACCGCGTCTTCAGTCAGACCGACCGCGTCTTCAGTCAGACCGACCGCGTCTTCAGTCAGACCGACCGCGTCTTCAGTCAGACCGCGTCTTCAGTCAGACCGCGTCTTCAGTCAGACCGCGTCTTCAGTCAGACCACTGACCTGATCCGTCGATGCCGGCTCTTCCCGTCATTGTGAAGCAGAACTCTCCAAGCGTTGGATTGTTCACCCACCAATAGGGAACGTCCATGGTCGACACTGATCCCACGATGACTGGATGAGAGCACACGAATGCGTCGAAGCGTGGCGTCGAGAATGCGGCAGGAGGCGGACACCGACGTGGCGCCAAACAGCGGCCACCGGCGATGAAGCGTGCGGCCGCCGACGTGCTGCGATGAAGCTTGCGGCCGCCGGCGAGCTGCAATGAAGCGTGCGGCCGCGGACGTGCGCCGTCGTTGAAGCGCGCGGCGTCAAAGCGCGCGCGTCGTTGAGGCGTGCGGCGTCGTTGAGGCGTGCGGCGTCGTTGAGGCGTGAGGCGTGCGGCGTCGTTGAGGCGTCGTTGAGGCGCGCGGCGTCAAAGCGCGCGGCGTTGTTGAGGCGTCGTTGAGGCGTGCTGCGTCGTTGAGGCGTGAGGCGTCGTTGAGGCGTGAGGCGTCGTTGAGGCGTGAGGCGTGCGGCGTCGTTGAGGCGTCGTTGAGGCGTGCGGCGTCAAAGCGTGCGGCGTCAAAGCGTGCGGCGTGGAGGAGGAGTTGAAGCGTGCGGCGTCAAAGCGTGCAGGAGGAGTCGAAGCGTGTGGCGTCAAAGCGTGCGGCGTGGAGGAGGAGTCGAAGCGTGCGGCGTCAAAGCGTGCGGCGTCAAGCGTGCGGCGTGGAGGAGGAGTCAAAGCGTGCGGCGTCGAAGAGGAGTCAAAGCGTGGCGGCTTCGAAGCGTGGCGTCGAAGCGTGGCGTCAAAGCGTGGCGTCGAAGCGTGGCGTCGAAGCGTGGCGTCGAAGCGTGGCGTCGAAGCGTGGCGTTGAAGCGTGGCGTCGAAGCGTGGCATTGAAGTGGCGTAAGGCCAGAGCACTGGGCAAATGAACAGCACAGAGCGGCCCGGCCGCGCACCGACCAATCAGATCAATGCAGTGGACAAAACTTACAGTCCACGGTCAATTTAGACAGAGCGAAGGCCAATGCAGACGACAAATGTTATAGTCCATGGTTACACTGACAGCCTGAAGGTCAATGCCGTGGGTAAAATTTTCAGTCCATAGTAAAACTGACAGCCTGGAGGTCACTGCAGTGGGTAAAATTTTCAGTCCATAGTAAAACTGACAGCCTGGAGGTCACTGCAGTGGGTAAAATGTTCAGACCATAGTCAAACGGACAGCCTGGAGGTCACTGCATTGTGTAGAATGTTCAGCCCATGAGTAAAACGGACAGCCACAAGGCCAGCACAGTGGTTAAAATGTACGGTCCATGGTGAAAACGGACAGTCTAAATGCCAATGCAGATGGTAAAACGAACAGCCTGAAGAGCAATGCAGGGGGCAAAAACACAGCCTGCGAGACAATTCGGCGGGAATAACTGACACGCCGCAGTTCAGTACGTTCATGGTAGTGCGGCAGGGAGACGGGTGGACAGCGGCAGGCAGACAACGGCAGGCAGACAGAAGTCCCGTGCCCGGTATGGAAGCTGCAGAGCGCACGGAGTAACGCCTGGCCGCGAGCAGCAGCGGCCACGGGAAGACGAGCGGCAGCGAGTCCGCAGGAGAGGACCCGCGGTGAGCCGCGGTGGAGACACAGCGACCATGGCGCGCAGCCCCCAACATGTGATGTGGAAGAGGAGCCGCGACCATGCAGGACGAACAATGTGCGAAGCGTGAGTAAACAAAGTGACGAAGAGCAACCCGTTGCAGCTTGAAGTCCGTTTGGTGAGCTGTGCTCTGCTTTGCTCTTAAACGCTGGCTTGATTGACACGGCTGCGGGGAGTTGATTAAGACAGGCTGAGTAAGGCGTGGTCAAGCCTTGTGTGATAACGTAGGTAGTCTACCATGCTGAACCTCCGCTTAAGCTCCATTTCTGGGTCGGGGGGGTGGCCAGAGATGCCACCCAGTACACAAAGCACCAGCCCCTCACTGATCCCCAAGCAGGTGGTGAGTCCACAGGAGCTGAGATCTTTCAGTGGGAGCTTCAGGCAAAGTGGGGTTAAGTGTCATGCCCAAGGACACAACGACAGCAGTCATCAGTGGGAGTCGTGAAGTAGGTCTTACGGTGGGCTCGAACCCACAACCTTCAGGCTCAAAGGCCAATGCTCTACCAACTGAGCTACTGTCGCCCCTCAAAATATTCCTTTTAGTTGTAATAGAATTGTTTGTTGCCTATAACTTTCAAATGATGGGCTGCAATCACTGCCATGTTCAAATAAATTCAATACATTTTTGTAAAGTCACAACAGCAGTTATCTCAGAGGACTTCACAAATCCCGTTGATTCGCTACAGATCAGAGAATCAAACACTGATTGCAGATACTTCAATTTCACCTGAGAGATTGTCCTTTATGGGCAAGACTTGTTTTAAAAGACAGAATTTATCGTGGTCCGATGCAAATGTAATATTACAGGACTGAGACAGAAGGGGCAGGGTTACTTTCCACCACAAGTTCCTGATATTAGCGTGGATGGATCTCAAACCAACTCCGGGTGCGTGACAGATGAGGGAACAATGTTGTAGAATGGTTTAAAGAGAGAAAAAGTCTCGTCCTGATCCACTCTATCGCTCTATTTTCCCAAAATCTCGTTCTGGACCACTACATGCACAGATGCGACCAACTCACCGCCTCCATCCATCTCCAGCACGATTTTGCACTTTGAAAAATCCCTTTCCCTCGACAGCCCCTTGTTTTGATCCCGTTAGCCTTAAAGAGAGCGCGCTGGGAGATAAAATTAGCCCTCTGCTATAAATACATGTGCGGGGAATTATCAGCGCTGCGTAAGTGGGTTAAGACCGAGGAACGGACACCTCCCCAAACCCACCGGAGAGAGGCCCATTATGCCAGCTCACATTTACACTCTGACTCTGAGCGCTTCAGCAGAGAAATGTCAGGGCCTGCAGTGCGAGGAAGATGAGGAAATTATATGTAATGCGAACGCGGTTTTTCAAACAGGAACCAATATTTTTGTGTGGAAAACCAGAGATCAAATCAACTATGGCAAAGTCACACGTGTGTCATACCTGATCAACTACTTCCAGTCAACATTAAGACAAGGCAAGTTTATTTGTATACCATAGTTCATACACAAGGCAACTCAAACACTGCCAAAAGTGATTGCTCAAATTTGGCAAAATGTATCTTAGTTTGAGTACATTTTGACTGTCTTAAAAGGTTTAAGGAGGAATTTCTATTTCTTCAAAACTATTGGTTCTCCCAATTGTCAATCATTCTGGTGATACGTTCTCATCAAATAAGACCAGAGAGATTTGTTCAAAAAGTGGAGAGGACATTTTTTTTCTAAAATTTGGGAAAATCCTCCTGTGTACCCTTTAAAACAAGATTTGCCAATAAGAAAAAGCAAAATAATCTTGTCTTAAAAAGATACAAGAAATGTCTCCCTTGATTGAGAAAATAAAGCAACTCTAAATGGCTTTTTTCTATTGGCAAATCTTGAAGACCATTTCAGATTATTTTTTTGTAAATTCCCGTGTTTAGTTGCAACATTTACAACTGGTTAATGCTGAAAAAAAGAATTCCCAGAGGCCCATCCACTCTGCTGAAAATAGTCCGAGTAAAATACAGTTTTCACTCAATCAAATATGGCAAGAGAATATATAGGGATTTTAACTTTTTTGATAATCTTGCGAGTCTATTTTTGTTCAATGGCTGCATGTTACTTTTATTTATTTTTTTGGTTTAACTTATAGAGCTTTCATTGGTCAGAACCTCAGTATGTTGGAGAATATACCCCCCTGGTCCTCAAATCAGGATCTCACTTTTACTTGTAAGTTGTAATTAAGAGCAGACAGCACATAAGTGAACAATAGCACAATGCAAAAATACAACAACATCACTAATTTTAGAATTATAAAGAAGCAACTATAAAACCTTCAACTTCAGCGTAATTTAGACAGAATAATACAATCTCTAACTTAGCATAATAAAGAAGAAGTATAAAATCTACCATTTTAGCAGAATAATATACTAAACACACAATTGCGTGTCGAGTGGAGCGGCTCTCTCTCTGATGTGAACGAGGGGCACACAAAGTCATCTCCCCATAATACATGTCCTTTGATAGTGTGCTGTGCTGAGAGGGCCACCCGCGGTCAGGCCCTCTCCCCTCAGCCCTGGCCTGTCTGTGGTGATGGACAGGCGGACGGATTGGCAGGGACAGGGATATCCTTGGACCCCTGTCACCCTGTGATGTGATGTGTGGGAGCGGGGAGCAGGTGGAGAGGCCCCGACGTGGACCAGAGCGAAGGTTACACACAACATGTCGTCTGGATTGGGTGGTGAAGAGAAACACGCTTTACATTTCATTGTGACATTGCATTAAACATGGTCAGTGATAGAATGACAGAAAAACCTAAAACTGTTGTCTGGATGGAGATTAAATGTAGATTAAATATAGATAAGATCGACTTCACTGATCTCACAATGAAGAAATGTACATGTCATAATTGGCATCAATAGGATCACTCAGATGTGCAAACAGGAAATGAGTAAATGTGTTAAAAAAGTGAAAAGATGTCTTTTGTGCAAGAGATATTGTGTGCAATTGAATTAAATTATGAAATGTTAGTTAGATACATTTATTTCAGGGGTCTCCAACCTGTAGCTCGCCGGCCCCTTACAGGTAGCTCGCCAAAGAAATTAGACTTAAACAAATACTTTTTGACCCATTACATATCTATTATAAGTATAAATATAGGGTTGTACAGTATTATGGTGTATTTTAAATGTGTTCTCCAAGTTTAGTCGTAATGATTAGATCAATTTTCATTATGACTGCAAAAAAGAGTAGCTCTCTGCCTGTTTGTTTGTATAAAAGTAGCTCTCCGATTAAAAAAGGTTGAAGACCCCTGATTTATTTCAAACCTGCAGAACACAATCTTATATATCTTCACACAAAAACAGGTTTGAAAGGGGGTTGGATGAAGCAAACTTTTTTTTTTCCCCAACTTCCTCTCTCCATTCAACGCAGGTATGCACAGAAAACAATGCAA